GGGGGTTCATGACTCCATTGACCTAAGTGATTGATCTATTCATATACCAAGAAATGTTCTACTGGATAGTAAGCAGGAAGCAATATGTTATTGGAAGTATCACACAAAATAAATCTGTGCTCTAACTACTACAGATACCAAACATGTGGAAATAGTTTTACTTATATGGAAACTTTGGTAACACAAAAGTGTATAACATGCACTATATCAGTTTTAATGAATGATCAACATGTCGGTAGAATTTACCATTCACATACTTAGTCTAATGCCTTATACTAAAGTAGCTGATAAGCATGTGAGCAACAGGTTGTACATGTGAACCTTTCAAGAGGTAAAAATATGAGATTTCAACTGGTCCAAAAAAGAATGTAGTTGTTTAGAGTAACTAGCATTTTTCCAAGTGTATTGCAACCTGTATGCACAGATATCAAATGCTCAACTGGTTAATGAGGAAACAGAACCATACTCTATCTTTAGTTAAAAGAGGAATCTTGTCAAACAATGAAAAAAAAAAAAAATAGGCAACCAAAAAGAAAACATACATGCTAGTAGATATTTAGAGGCAGTAGTTAAAATTTGCTTCTCCTCCCCAGATGTTTGAGTATGTATGAAGTGATGTATGATTGGTTCATTAGCTAGAAAGTGATTGAGCTAAAAATTAAGCTCTGTGAAAGACTTGCAAATACTGACTGGATGCCAGCCGAATCCTAATCAGACGAGAAACTACTGCTGTGTTTGAAAGATTATGATAGAACATTTCTGCCATGTTTTACATGATCATACTAGAAGCTACAATAGCTACAGATCAACAACCACTCTGTACCTCTCGCGTACAGTATATCTACTGCTATAACTACTGACCTATATTTCAACCTGGCAACACTTCCAAAACCACAATTACATTATTTATTGATTTTTTTTTTGTGTCTACGTGCCAAACCTATAACAAATATGCTTCAGTGCACTAATACCACCAAGGTATCACCATACACTTTTCCTTACTTAATATTTGAATTCTGAATTCTCCTCTGCAATACACCACCAACACATCTTACTGCATGCAGCTTGAGCATTCTCTTTAGCATTGCTGGGAGCTGATTTAAGCAAACAAATTATGAACAATGGCGCAAAAGAGAAACAAATGAGATTTAAATTTGATTGCTTGTTTTGGGCATAGTTGCTCATAAATCAGCCCTAAATGAAAACACACCCTGAGACACTAGATACATATTTTACAGATTGATAGATCAGTTTTTCATGAACAGGAACAGCCACACATGGATCGAAATTTGTACGGTTCCTGCTGAACCAGCTGAATTTCAACCATTGTATGGCCAAAAAAGAGGGGAACCACAGATCACAGCAATTGTTCTGACACACCAGGAAGTGTCAGCAATTGATCTGACACGCCGGGAACTATGGCAGATAATGAAGATGTTTCAGAAAATGTAGCTGGTAAATACAGTATGGATTGCCAGCGCAGGCCAAGTATTAATCCTTTACTTTGCAAGCATGGATATACATTTTAAAAATATTAACAAATTCACTTTAAATGGTAGAAACCTTTCCCTTTAACTAGAAAAAAACTGTCTAGCAATCCCTCCCACGAGACACCAACTTCATCTGACATTGTGAAAGGCACAAAGAAAAAACACTTTACTATCACTAATAAGAGGCTTAATGATATTTTTATTACATTACGGCTTTTCAAGGGTAGGTGTGTTACTGCAATCAAATCTTATAATTAAAAAATTTAACTATTTTAAGCATTTGTGTAAATCACAGTATGCATAATGCAAGGATAAGGATTATATACCTTTACAAGGATGAAAGCTAACAAAGAGGAAAATGTAATTAAGCTCAAGGAACAAGGTGACCATAGCAAGTGATGATCCTTCATACGGAAACATCAGCAAAGAAAAAGACATATTAGTATTCAACTTTACAGGGACACCTTCACGTTTGGGAAACAAAAAGCTGCTGATATGCATGAAGAGGTCCCTGCACACACTTATTGCAGCTTACAGTACCTGCTGCTTTCACTTGAATCCTGGGTTATTCCAACAGGCAAAGCTTTGGCATTTTGTTGAAGTTTTGTCTGTCTTTTCTTGCCTCTTGTGCATTTCTATTGCCACTTAGATAGCCAATCATGTAGTGGTCGATGACTGAAAATATGGAGGGAAAGCAGTTGGGGGAAGACTGGGCAAATACAAGCACTAAGAAGACTGGGTAAATGTCAGGCAGATCTTTGGCATTTTTGGATAGAGTTGGAGCTTGCCTGCCCCTTCCACATTCCTAATGCCACTTAAGCAGCCAATCATAGTGATGAAGTTATGCAACAAGGGGAGCAGATGAGGAAGACAGACCAAGTTTCAGCAGCTGACAATGTTACATAGTTATATAGTTAGTCTGGCTGAAAAAAACACAAAAGTCCATCCAGTTGACATGTTTTTTTGCCTATAAGAACTACCCAGCATTGGGTGAAGCAGGAGGTAAAAAAAGCTGCTGCAGGTGATGTGCACCTCTGGGTGTCTGTACATCATACCTGTCTGCAGCTTTAAGTTTCATAATTTGACAGAGCTTTTTTTTAAAGTTCCTTGTTGAAGAAATACATAAAACCCAAGAATTATTTGAACACAAGACAGACTTTAGGCCTTCCAATTTGCAGTGAAAGCATATCAGCGTTTTCTGCAGTGTGAATAAAATCATTTATGGAATATACTTATCACATCCATAATTGTTGTTGCATTTAGGGGTTTTTTTTTCAGTTTTTTTTTAGTACCCTTGTTATCTAGCTAGTAATGAAATGGCCCCTCATTGAATGGAAGAGCAAGAGAGACAACACTGGACAGCAGCATTGCTAATTTGAGGAGAGGGTAGTGTTATAGATGCACTAGCAGATTTAGATGGACTTGACTAACAAATTAAGCTTAAAGCAGATTTGAACGCCACAAAACAAAAATACTATTTAATTAATTTTTAGTGTTCAAAACAAACACTCCAGTCTGTTCAAGTCTCCATGCTTTTTTTTTTTGCTTTTATTTCATTTTAGAAATCCCTCTGAAAAACCCTCCCTAGCATTTCCGGCCGTGGCCATCTTGCGTAAGGGCAGACGATTCATGTAGCATTTACTCCCTGGAAACTGTGTGGCCTTAACTCAGGAATGCAAGCAGGAGGGTGTACTTAGATGTGAAAACCCCTCTTGAAGACTACTGGGACGTATGACATCATTTGCCTAGGCATAGAAACTAGGAGTAACTGAAGAAATTGATTAAAAAATGAAAACAAATAAATATACTGGTAATACACCTTCCTATTTATTTACTAATGCTAGCAGTGTAAGGGTTAAAAATAGTTAATGTTGATTGACAGAGTGAAGTTCCAGTTTAACTCCAGTTAACACTTTTTGAGCAGTTACAGAAACAGATTTTTTTTTCTTTTGGCTTAATGGTTTTAAAAGCTAATCAATGTAAGCACCTCTGTCATTGTTAAAAGGTTTGTCCCAACCCTATAACTGCCAATTTTGCTGGACAGCTTGGTCTGTTAAAGTATTGAAAAATAACAGACTTACTGGCTAGAATACCAGGTAAAAATAAAAGGAAAAAAGTCAAAGAAAGAAAACCAGGGCAGCCACTACATCTAATAATTGGTAAATTGAATTTTTGCTTTAGATAGATGTTTTTGGAGTTAACTTTAAAATAAAGTGCCACCTTAGTAAGAAATTAAATTTTCTTAAAAATAAATGAGGCTTTTACACGTGGGTGGGAGGTAAGATAAGAAAAGGCAAAGAATAAACAAAGAATATAGCCGTTACCTCTGTGATAGAATTGGTCAGCTTATATACAAGTAGAATGAACAAGTTTTTTTTTTCTTTTACCAGCAATTGTAGCTTAGAATTTAGCTCTCCCCAATTCTGAATATGTAATATAAGACTGCATAAATATAATGAAGCTAAAGCTGGCAATACAATAATAATTTTTTTTTTCATCCAACCAGCAGGTTGAACAAAAAAATAAAAAATTGCCGACTCCCCCATTCTTCCCACTGAGCGATTGTGTTTTGCAAGAGAGAAACCTTCCCGCTATCAGAACACACTGATCAGTGTTGCTGATGGCACTGATCATTCAGGAAAAACCTGACAGGCTGGTTGTTCAGAAGTCAAATTGGTAGATCGACTTCTATACAACCAGCCCCCCATACATGGATCGAACCTTGGTCAGTCCCTGCTGAGCCAACCAAATTTTGATCCATGGCCTCCTTAATGCTTCTGTTGAATGAGAGGTGATATTCATTTTCCTTTTAGTTGGTATATATTGTATATAGAAGCATGGAATTCAATACTGGTCTCAAGTCTTCATTTTATCAAAGTGATTAGATTGTCACCTTTCATGAGGCATAGTGTCAACAAGATGGTGTTTAAAAACACAATGGGTATTAGTGCAAGCATTTAAATTACTATTACTTCTAATGCCATGTACCTTACATGATGGGGGGTGGTGATATAAAAAAAGGGGGGATGTGAAAAGAGATTCACAAGAAAAGCGGTAACATCATGAACAGAAAGCGATACCCAAAAATTTCTCAAAAAATTATGCTTTATTACAAACAATGCATATATAGACATTTAGGTGAATACTTCAGTTAGCCATCACCACAAAATGAGACCATACAGAAAAGTATGACCAAAAACCAAAATATAGTTAAAAACAGACGTCATGAATATATAGTGCTGTAAACGTAATGACACTTGTTCTAGTACATGAGCAGCACTGACACATAGGTAACACCACCGTGTAGGGGATATATTCAAAAAATTGTACCATAATAGGCTAGACATCAGACATGCAGTGAAGTATACCAGTTAAAGATGGATTCAGGAACCCAATGTTATACATAAACATCCAATTAGGGCAATAATCAATGTGAGACATATGCAGTGAAAAGTAAATCTACTAATGTAGTCGCAATGGCGAAGGTGGTGATATAAAGACTGAACCTACCTGAGCATGTGGGCTGCATTGAAAACTACATCAAATTCAGAACTTTCAAGCTCCGCAGCCTTCTTTGCCATTTCTGCAGCTTCTAGGACTCGCCCTTCTTCCAATAAGAATTGTCCTGCAAGGCCAAATGTATGAAATGAAATGCAGATTTACATGAAAAACAATAATCATATCGGGAACTTGATTTTGGAATAATTTCAAAGATGGATGCAATGGTATGTGAGATTAAATTTCCAAACTCTATGCAAAGCAGAACTTGCTCACTTTGTTCCCTGTTATTGCTTTGTCGGACTGTTTGTAGTATAATATTTCTAGTGATCCTGTCATTCACACAAGCTGTATCTAACTTCCCTCCGTGGACTGCAGAAACCACTTAACAATAAATTCCCTTTGAAAAGGAAAAAAGCTCTGAGGAGGGGCTGAGGATCCTACAGGATGTTTCCAGATCTTGTTGAGAAATGGCTAAAGTACTTGGTGCAGTGAAAAGGTATCTGCAGCTGTAGGAGCTAGGCCTATAAAACCAGGCGGACTCTCTAAATGTATGCTAGCATGTACTGCAGTGATCAGATTAGAAACTTAAGACATAATTTGAGACACAATTTGTTACTTACCATCCATTTCTTTTCAAGTCACCCCCCCCCCCCCTAGGGGGCTATTTTAATTTTTTACTACTAGAATACACCTGTTTACTAATGGGCTTGCTAGGTGTGCAATGTTTGGGACCTCTCCCCATGCATATCCGCACTGATTTTATATAACGTTTCTTTTAAGATACAGCCCACAGGACTGTCACCCTGCACAGTGCAGTGCACCACTAATCTAGATTTAACATGCTAGTTCAAACTTTTTGGATTTCTCTAGATGAAAACTTCTACAAGGTAATTAGGAAATAGGCAGCAAAGGTACAAACAAGTGTAATATACTAAAGCACCTTCTGGCTTCCATGGTACAGAGGGCACCAGTGATGAGATCACAGACAATGCTGAGTGCTCCAAGTCTTGCAAGAAGAATCTGCAGCCTAGCGCTGGAAGCATCTTCTCAGTGAGATTTCAAGTACTCTACATTTTATAAATCTTGCAGAAAGGAGTGTGGCCCTCTATTCTCAGATTTTCACAACTGCTTTCTGATTAATTTATGGACAGTGAACCTGACCACCTAGACCAGTAGAAAAAGTGCAAGCAACAGGGCCAAACACATCTTTAGATTACAGTCAGAATATGTATTTTAGTATTTCTCAGGTGTTCTATAACCAGTTGCATTACAGGCAACCAGTTGCATAATACGTTGGGCAATGTATATCTGTTAAAAGTGAAAACACTTTAAATTTCACTTGACACAGCATTGTTTTATGAACAAATAAACAAGGTAAATAAACCTGTAATAATGTTTCCTTATTTAGACATAATTTAGAAATTAACTTGAATATATACCTTTTTTTAAATTAAAGCGGAGCTTCACCCAAAAGGGATAGTTCCGTTTTAAGGCTTTGTCCCCAGCTCTCTGTTAAGGATTGGCACCTTTGGGGAGCAGGGGTACCCGAATTTGACAGGTACTTGTTCCCACTTCCGCTGCGATTGTCTAGGCGATCAGAAACAGAAGTTGTTCTCCCCCCCGTAGACTTCTGGGACACGTGACAGGTCCCAGAAGACTACAGGACCATTCATCATACTCACGCATGCGCAGTGGGCACCCAGCTCTGAAGCTTCAAGCTGTCACAGCCGGGTGCCCACACTGAAGATGCTGGCGCCGAGGAGACAGGAAGGTCAGTCAACCCGGCCTTTGTGAGGACACAGAGGGATCGAGGAACAGGTGAATGTCTGTTTTTTAAAGTCAGCAGCTACAGTTTTTGTAGCTGCTAACTTTTATTTTTTTTTTAATTCCCACTGTACATCCACTTTATTGAACGGGTCTCAAAGGCAGCAGAGCCAGTTAACTTTTTAGAGAAAAGTCAAACTGCAAAGATTAATCCTCACATAGTCAACTTCCTAATGAGGACAAATTGAGCCAATTTATTTTCCAAATCACTGTAAAATGCATAAGGGTTGAAAGGATCACTCTTAACAGTAATTGCCACTGTAACAGACTACAAAGATTGCAAGGCATTGGTTAAAAGGTTTTATGTTTGATTTTGGTGGATCATGTTACAGTTTTGCTTTGATGTTGGCGATCATAAATCAGTTTCTGACATAATTTAAAGCAATCCAAGGAAATAAGTTACACCACGGAATGGTAAGCAAAGCTGGTTTATTGACAACAGTCTTCTAAAGCCAAGCAAGCCTTAATCTTCCATTTAATCCAAGCAAATTTATCAAAGTAAATTAAAGCTTCAAAAACTCACTCATCCTTTTAAAGATAATTTAGGCATTAAATATCCTAAACATCTGATGTGATATGATGGTTTGCGCTGCAAGTTCTTTTTAGAAGGTCTGTATCAGTAGAATTTCTAGTTTGCATTTTAAATAGTAATTATAATGATGTGCAGCTGTTCATCCATAAGATATGCTCAAAAAAGTTACAGAAAAATGAAGGTGGGAACAGTTGGCAGCTCTTTTGTAAACCTAGGATGCTGAAACCTGTGTGATCACCAAAATAACAGTATGTCTGCATGCATGCACCACCTGTGTGTTTATTTAGCTTTACTGCAGGATTTTATTTCTGATTTATAGTAGGAGGAATCCTTTGGACCTCAAACAGTAAATTATAAAATTCTTTAGGACAAGCACAATCCACTGGTGACAGGGACAGCTGATAATAATAGCAGCAGCAATAAGAAAAATAAAAAAATTGTGCTCACCTTACTGCAAGTGGAATCACAGACCACACCCACTTGATCTATACAGTCATGGCCAAAAATATTGTCACCCCTGCATTTCGGTCAGATATTGCACCACTTTGCCCAGAACATTGTTGCAATTACAAATGTTTAGGCATTCTCATGCTTATTTTGTTTGTATTGGTATGAAACAATAAAGAGGAGAAACAAAAAGCCAAATCTGACTCGTTCTATGCAACACTCCAAAAATTGACTGGACAAAACTATTGGCACCTTCAATTTATTAATTGGTAGCACTCCCCTTGGAAAAAATAACTGAAATCAATCGCTTCCTGTAACCATCAATGAATTTCTTCCACCTCTCTACTGGAATTTTGGAGCACTCTTCTTTCGCCAACTGCTCCAAGTCTCTCAAGATTGGATGGGTTCCTTTTCCCAACTGCTGTTTTGAGATCTCTCCACAGGTGCTCTATGGGATTGAGATCTGGACTTAATGCTGACTAGTTCAGTACTCTCCAGCGCTTTTTCTTAAACCATTTCTGGGTGCTTGGGGTCATTGTCCTGCTGTAAGACCAATAACCTCTGACAGAGACCCAACTTTCTGACGCTGGGCCCTACATTGCACCCCAGAGTTCTTTGGTAGTCTTCAGATTTTATAATGCCATGTACACTGTCAAGACATCCAATGCCTGAAACAGCAAAGCATCCTCAAAGCATCAGTGAACCTCCACCATGTTTGACCATAGGGACTGTATTCTTTTCTTTAACCATTTCAATACCGGGCAATTTTACACCTTTCTGCCCAGGCCAGTTTTCACGTTTCAGCGCTCTCACACTTTGAATGACAATTGCGCGGTCATACAACATTGTACCCAAACTAAAATTTTATCATTTTCTTCACACAACTAGAGCTTTCTTTTGGTGGTATTTAATCACCACTGGGGTTTTTTGCTAAATTAACAAAAAAAAGACCAAAAATGTTGAGAAAAAAAACACGTTGTTGTTCTTCATAAATTTAGGCCAAGATGTATTCTGCTACATGTCTTTGGTGAAAATAACCCAAATTAGGATGTATTATTTAGTTTGTAGGAAATTTATAGAGTTCACAAACTATGGTATAGATCTGAAAATTGATCAATCCTGAAGTACTGACACAGCCAATCTAATTTCTTGAGGTCCAAGAATGTCAATAGTACAGATATCCCAAAATGACCCCTTTTTGCAGAGTAGACAGTCCGACGTACTTCATAAGAGGAATGGCGAGTTTTTTGAAGTTGTATTTTTTTTGTCATAATTTTTCGGAAAATGAAAAAAATTATTTTCACTATTTTTTTTTACATACTGTCACCAGTGCAGTACAGCGTCATCATATAACTGGCATGGTGGTGAAAAGGGACACTGACTGGCGACAGTATGAAAAAAAATTATATATATATGTTTTTTTTATTTTTTTTTATTTTTAATTTTTTACTACTTTTTTTATTTTATTTAAGATTTTTTTTTTTCATATTTTACTATTACCAAAGTTGTACAATGTTACCATAGTAACATTGTACTACTTTGGGGAAGTGATCAGTATTTTTTTTTTTTTTTTTTTTTTACACAATTTGCTTATAGCAAAGAATTACTTTGCTATAAGCAAGCATTCACCTGAATGAAATCGATTCATTCAGGTTTTTTATTTTTATTTTTTTGTAATTAGCTGTGATTTGGCCACAGCTAATCACATGACATGTGCATGTGACCTGCTGTGACCATTCACAGCTAGGCACTAGTATACAATGGATGGCATGAAGCCATCCATTGTATACAACTGTCATGTGACCTGCTGTGATTGGTCACAGCAGGTTACATGGTACTGGCAACGGGGGGGCCGGTACTCAGATCTGTCATCGGCCGTGTCCGAGGTACACGGCCGGTGACAGATCGCGCCGCTGCGCGGCTCTTCAACCGCGCGAACTGCACATGTGCGGGAGGACGCCAAATGGCGTGCACCCGGAAAGCTAGAGCATTTTTGCGGCCGCCAAACGGCTATAGGCCGGGCGGCTAATGGTTAAAGGCCTTATTTCTTTTTCTGAAAACCTCAGAATGATGGGCTTTACCAAAAAGCTGTAATTTTGTTTTGTCTGTCCACAGCACATTCTCCCAAAAGGATTTTGGCTTCCTCAGGTATGTTTTGGCAAACTCCAATCTGGCTTTTTTAGGTTTCTGTTTCAGCAGTGGGGTCCTCCTGGGTCTTCTACCTTAGTGTCCCTTTTCATTCAGATGGTGATGTATAGTGTGAGCTGACAGTTGTACCCTGTGCCTGAAGGTCAGCTTGAATTTGTCTGGAAGTTGATCGA